ATAATAATAATAATAATAATAATAATAATAATAATAATAATAATAATAATAATAATAATAATAATAATAATAATAATAATAATAATAATAATAATAATAATAATAATAATAATAATAATAATAATAATAATAATAATAATAATAATAATAATAATAATAATAATAATAATAATAATAATAATAATAATAATAATAATAATAATAATAATAATAATAATAATAATAATAATAATAATAATAATAATAATAATAATAATAATAATAATAATAATAATAATAATAGTAGTAATAATAATATAGATATCATATACGTAAGAACTTAAATTCAAATATACATATATGTACATTTGAATTTAAGTTCTTTCCATTTATTTACATTTGTTTTATGTCAATTATTAAACAAAGCGAACGAAAAAATGAAAGTAATGAATGAAAGTAATGAATGTAAATGAAAGTCGATTTAGGTTTTGATATTTTATTTTTAGTTTTCAATTAGTATGATGTTTTTTTTTACGTAATGAAATAAAAATTAGTCAAACTTTTCCATTTAATAATTATCAGCAATGATAAAGGAAGGATGGACTATAGTATGTTGTCAATTAATAGTAAATCAATAGATAATGATATTATCAGTTTCCTTGAATGGAATATTTATTTGTTATCACCAATAAACAACAAGCAGATTGATAAACTGTATTCCAGTTTAAGACTATTCCCAATTTACAATTTATGACTATTAAATTAAGAGTTTAGGACTATTGATGACTATTCCAAGAATTTACTAAATATAAAAAAAAAAAAAAACATAATCGAAATTCCTTTTGATTTCTTAAAATATATAATGTATAAAAATTAAAAATTTAATGTATCGATTGGTTTTTTTTTTCATTTTTCTTTTCAAACTTCATTAAACCGTTTAAATAAATCTTTTTAAACTTTCAATTCAAACAATCGTAATACTTAATATAAAATTATATTTTCACTATAATATTTATTGACAAAAAAAAAAAGTAGTATCATATGTATATTTATGCCTTAAACAATCATTCCATAATTACTGATATTTCAATTTAAATATTTAAGTTTAAGAGTTTTCTTCATTTTAAAAGAAATCAAAAAACAATGAAATATATTTATATATATTTAATTTGATTTCCTTTCAGTATATATGTTAAATGTAAGTGCCAAATATTTGAATCAATTCTAATCCAAAAAAAAAAAGAAAAAGAAGAAGCGATGAGATGTCATAGTTTTTGTCGCCAAATACCGTATTTCCTCCTTATCTACCGGGCTATAATTATACGCATTAAGAAGTAAAGACTCGTGAGAAGAATACGAATGATGTGATTAGGCGTATGATTGCCGAAACTTTTTTTTTTCCGTGAAATTTCCGATCTTAACGATAACAGTTCCTTTTTTTTTTCCTTCCTTCTTGATTGATTGATTGATTCAAATCTTTTTACACATATTTTTTACTTTCTTATCAATGATAATGATTACTATATTTGCACACTTACTTTATTTATTGTCCCTTAGTTAATTAATTAATGTTATCATTTTTATCAACGATAATAATTATTATCTTTGAATACTTACTTTGTTTATTGTCCCTTAATTAATTAATATTCTCATTTTTATCAATAGTAATAAATAATTACTATGTTAGAAATACTTACTTTATTTATTGTCCCCTAATTAATTAATATTATCATTTTTATCGATGGTAATGAATAATTACTATGCCTGAATACCTACTTTATTTAGTGTCCCTTAATTAATATTATCATTTCTTACCTTTCCTTTTTTTTGGTATAATTTAATGCTAAGTGTCAGTTTGCACATAAATGAAATAGAAGAAAAAAATTTTGTTAGTAATTTAATGAAATTCAAAATTTGAAATGTCATTTCCAATTATAAAATTATTCGTCAATTTATTCAAATTATTCATGGCATTTGAAAATTTCAAACGATTACCAAAAATAAAGTATTATACAGTGATATATAATTAACCTTTAGGAAGAGAAAATTCGAAAAATCAAATTTCTTCTTTTCAATTTAATATTTTGATCTTTGTAATAATTTGAAACATACAAAATCCATATTTCAAAAATAAGGTTTATTCCATTATTTTTGTATATATTTGAAAGGTTTCCAGGAAAAATAGGAGAACGAATAAATTTTAGTCAAATTTAGAACAACAAACTTTAATCAAAACTTGAAATACAAATCTCAATTGAAATTCAAAAGCAATCATCACCTACATATCACTTATAAAATTATGTTTTAGGAAAAAGTATAAAACTGTTAAAATTCTTACTATTCATTTTCTCATTTCTCTGTCATAGTTTAGAAAAAAAGTTATTAAGAATGAAAATTTGAAAATTAAAATTGCTAAAATTTATTACCATTTTACTTGTTCATTTTCCGATCATAGTCTAGCTTTCCATTGTAATTGTTGTCATTTGAAGTGGATAATTTTTTCCACGATTGCGATAATCCATACCGCTTAGCCTACTTTATTAACCATTTAATTTATATAATAGCAGTAAATTGGAATCATTCATGAGATTAGCTATAAAATTACTTTGAAACATTACAATTATCAAAAGTAAATGTTACATCTTGCAATAAATTATTGATTATTAAATAAAACAAAAAAATAAACAAATAAATTGAAATTCAGCATAAAATTTTGGACAAATCTTCAAAATAAATTTAAATAAACAAATTGAGAAGAATGAAATAAACAAGAAAAGGAATCGAAACATTTTTAGAAATTCTCTTCTATCTCTTACTTTTACGAATAGCAACTGTGGTATGATAATTATGATTGTAAATTCCACCCGAACCATTAACATCTGGTGGGCCGTACAAATAACACATGGTAATCATCATTTCCTTTGTTTCTTCCGTTCCGTTTCCTGCTGCTTTTTCATCGTCTATCATCTTTATACTATACTAATCTACCTTCTTCTCCTATCCTTAATATCTAATAAATAAATATTGAAGTGTTGTTAAATGCTTAATGAACAGATCAAAGAATTATGCTCTATCGACCGGAAAAAAAAAAAAAACGCTCTATCAACCGGAAAAAAGTTGCACTATAAAGATAATATTGGATATTATATACCGTGAGATCCTTACTGAGTAAATTCAACAAATAAGCCTTATCTGATCGGAAACATACAGTAAGTTATATTAAATGACACAATAGTAACTATAATATCTTCATTTAATTTAATGAAATAACCTTCCAAAAAAAAACTATTCAAAATAAAAAATGAATTCTTATTATTAGTAGTCGGTCATATTTCTCATCATATAGAGTGTACAAATCAAATATTAACAGATCAAATAATTCCGACTAAAAAACAGATCATTTTGAGAGATAAACGCTAAAACAATATGAAAATCCAATAGTACAGTTGAAATGGATTAATTTGAATCGATATCACAGATGAATTACACAAATTTGCGAAATAACTGTCATCACCATGATGAAATATACATATTTATAGGGAAAACGTTATTCAGGAAAATTCTATCATTCCAATCTATGATATCTCATGGCAACTTAGGATAATAAAAGAGTATAGAACTTACGTTGTTACTTGGACGAATATTGAATTTTAAATTTTATTATTTAGATTCACAATAACCAGAAATTAAAAAAATGAAAACTTCATAAAATTATCAAATTACACGCTGAGAAAAAAAGAGTAATTGATTAATTGTTAAAGATTATCTTATGAAAATGAAAAAAAAATCATCATAACTATTTAATCATTCATTAATTCATTCATTCATCGATCAAGGCACGCTGTACAAGTATCAGTGCACTTTTTCGCTTATTCCGTTCTTCCATCAAATTTAAACGAAGCGTTTTGATATACTCATCTTTGGCAGCTAATTCAGCACGTAATCTTCGACACTGAAATAATTGCTGAATTATAAGCATTTTTAAAATATAATGAATGGATATGGAAATAATATTAAAACCAGCTGCCTACCAGGAATTCATTATCTAATAAATTGCACATAAAACGGTCATTAGTGATGTGTGACGTAGTGAATACGCACACATTATAACAAACAATATTAATTAAGGTAACCAGAACGTGGAAATCAATTACAATGCTATTCAAAAATTGAGAAAAAAAAAGTTGATAATAATACAAAAAGCAATCAGTAGTAATTATTTTCCGTTAATATCTTGTGCATGTCTAATCTAACAGATCGTAATCTTTCCTCTTTCCATGTTTTCGGGAATTTTCTAAAAGAATGGGTAATACAAGAAGGAGACTCTACTCAAAAAACTTGAGCTTGTCCTTCACCTCTCATCCATAATATCAGTACAACTATAGTAATTAAAACATTCTCATATAATATTCGGAAACAATGAAGTTACAAAACTTCCCGTAGATCTAAAACAAACTTGAAAATATAGCTTCTAAAAAAGACAAACTTCTGCTTCCAGACGACGATAATCACGAAGGAACGACTCAACTTGCCCAGCAAACTGTCCCGTAGAATCACTACTTACAGCTGATGAACCCGCTTCCGTGTCTCTATAAGTAAAAAGTTTATGGAACAATATGCTACGTTCTGGAAAAGAGTAAATAATCTAGTATAAATAATATGAATATCATTTAGTTCAATCTAATGATATATAACTAATATCATTTAATTCAATCTATTGATATATAACCAATCTTTAAATCCTTACAAATAGCCAAACAATAAAAATATTCGTTCTACTTTTAGTCCATCATCAAATAGCAAAACATTCGCAGAGTTAAAAGATATTCTACTATGAAATATTCCATTTAAACTCATGATGACTAACTCTGCAACAGTCAACAATATTCAAATCATATAACCTCAATCAAACTGGCGCAAAAAATGTATCATCTTACCCAGTGGATGAACCAGTGAAGACAACCTCTCCAGATGATGAAACTTCGGAATTCTCAGCAGCACTGTTTACATCATATCGAACAAGCGAATTTTTAGACTGAAACAAACACAGATATAAGTTCAAGATAGACTTTCAAAATAGCCAAGAATGCTAATCCAGAATCTGAAAGCAGCAAAGAATTCCAGCTTCCAAATTTTAATTCACATTTTATCTTTACCCCACCTTCATCACTGTAGCATTACTTTGAAACAGGATGAAGTTCCACGGGCTAAACACCAATCCATTGTTCATTACTTTTCTAATTTCACCCTCTAATGTATCACAATGAATACTATCATATATTCGATTTCATTTGGGTGTTCCATAGCTCTGAAACTTGGGTTTCATCATCAAATAACTCCCTTTTCTTACTGAATGACCAGAAATAAATGACTTTAGGCACTATTGATAAGTCAGTTAAGTAAGGTAACCAAACAATCGTTAGATCACCCACAGTATTGGATATCAGTGCAGAACAGAGAAATGAATGAAGTTCAGCATCTTGCGAGCTGCCAGCAGCATCATCTGTCCAATCATGACTTCGGTGTCCACCTAATAACAAAAAATACCAAAGTACAGTTTATAATGATTAAACAACAACATCGTACGATTAAGATGTCTACAATACTTTTTTGGAGGGAAAGAAAACGGTTTAAGTAGCTACTGTCCTAAGAATATATTACATTTTAAGTATTAAATTCATTCATTAGTAATTTATTATCACTAGCAGCATAATTGACAACCCATTATTTCCTTCCACACAATCCTAATTTCTTTTTACATACTAATTAAGGGACAATTAAATGATCCTATTTAAAGACGAACCTTCATTCATGACTTCATAGTTCAGAATAGAACCCTCACCAGTATTACCTTCCGAGGTGCATGCTTCTGCTTTGACACCTCTTTTTGAAACAAGCTGAAAATAAAAAGTTAGATACTGCTATAATAAAATGAAAATACAGTAAAGGTTCCAATAAAAACAAAAACTAGTTCATTATTATATCGAATAGTGATCCTCAGGAATGCTAATCACCTAACATAAGAATGTACAGCCACAACGGACTAGTACCTACCTAATATCAATTATTCTACATGAGATAAAGTTCATTACTTCAAGCTATCTGTAAAATGATATTTGGAAATAAACGCTATCTACTTCTTTAAATCATTTCCCTTAAATGTCAGACAAACCAGAAATAAAATGACGCAAAAAAAAGAAAAACGGCTAGAAGGAAGTTGAAAATCAACCTCTCTGATTGACTGATGCACGTCACCGAAAAATGTTCCCTGCTTTGCACCTTCCAGTAAGTCAAAATAGAGCAAATATTCATTTTTATGCTTACAACGAAGATGTTTTGTAGCATTTGTAGTATTTGGTGGGCCAGTAAATCCATTGCCACACATCAAACACATATATCCCAAAGTAAGTCCACCAGATTTATAGAATTTGAAAAAATTCCAAACTGGATGCTTAGGACCTATAAAAACAAGTCGAAAAAAAGATGGCCATTCAAAGATATAAAACGAACACTTAAAAAAAAGAGGAAAATGCATAATCCAAATCAGTCGATCAAAAAAGAAAATGGCACTTTTTCATTTGTTGAACAGATATTATATAAAAGACCACGAATAATGGTAGTGTCAAAATTATGCGACAAAAAAATTTCTAAAGCAAAATATAATAGCCTAATAGTGAAGGGAAGATGAAATTCAGCAACAGCATATTGCAATATAAAACTACACATTTCGAATGAAACCACTTTTTCCTATTTTCACATATAAAAATGATGTCTAATGATAGAAATTACAGTAATGAGCTATAAGTAAAACTTAATTATATTTTTCGAATAACTGTAATAAAAAATTTACCTCTGGGACGTCCCTTTGGACGATAACGATCAATATATTCTGCTTCACCAGGATTTAATGCATTACTTAAGCTGATCAATAAATGAGATGCATTTTCGTCCGAGTCAATTTCATTCTTTACATTATTTTTCCCCCTAGGATGCGCTTGACGATTAGCCTGAAAATACATCCAGAATTATGGTCCAGAATTACTCGACAATAATCTACCAAAAACTGATATCAACAAGAATGTGATCATATAATTGCTCTAAGTTTCGAAAAATTACACCAGCATATTGAAATTTAAGCTTGTATTTCGAAAACTTATTCGTCTGTTTGGAAGCGACACTTGCACGTTACAGTGCTGTGATTGCACGTCACAGTGTTGCGATTGCACGCCACAGTGTTGTGATTGCACAATGCAGTGTTGTTGCTGCATGTTACAGTGTTGCGGTTGCACATCACATCCCGGTGTATCATAACTAATTTCACGTGGTGCACAACGTGAAATATCACGTAACGTCTGATGTTCACCATCGTCATCAGTACCAACTATTTCTGAGCCTATAAAAGAAAGAAAGAAAAACAATAATTTCAAGAACGAAATAATTGATTTTTTTTTTTTAAATTAAAGCAATCAGAATTTCTTATCTCTTCATCATGTTTACTTTTATTTAAAATCTAACATACCTGTATCCTGATATACACTATCACCTTGTGGTAATAAACGCTCAGGACTTTCTAAACAGCTATCATTTCGGGTAATCTTTGCAACACTACAGCCAGCTTCTTGACCATATTGTTCTGCTGCAGTATTCGCTAAATATACCGGTCGACGCTTGCCTATTTCCAGTACAGCTGTTGCTTCCACTGCAACACTGTCATTGCCAGTTTCCTGAAACAACAATCAGTGTATTTACATATCTTCACATATGTTTACAGTAGGTGAATGTATCATTTTATCATTTTTATCATATTTTTCATTTTATTCCATGAATATAAAAGTTATCAGATGATAATGGTGAGGAAAGAAAAACAGGTTATTGATAAAAGGAAAAGGAATAATTCATTATGATACAAATGTATATCTCATAATGTCTTCAATATATTTCTCATTATGTTTTGTTGAGTCATTTAGAAGAAAGCCGGTTTGTTGTAAATTATATGATTTACATTTATACACAAATTATTTTAATAACATGAGAATAATTATTTATAATTCATCATAATTTCAATCATTATGGTAATCGGTAATGTTACTTCTTCATACAAGTTTTCAAAATTTCTTAAAATTTATCCAAAAAATCTATCACTTGGCATATATGTGCTGATAAAATCTTTTATTATCATTAAAATTTAGAAAAAAGAATTCTATGACGTGAAAAAATGGAAAAAATAAGAAAAGAATTAAGACCAAAGAAAAGTGCTTTTCCCAGAGATCAAACGTGGAAATAAGATAGAAAATTTAAAAATTTTTTCAAATTTCTTCACCCACAGTAATAAATACTACCTAGAAATGGTCTGAGAAATAATTAGAAATCTCAAATTTTTTCAAAATTCATCGAATAAATTCAAAACCAGGACGTAATTACCCGACTTTTTAAAAAACATGTGCGCTATAAATAAAACTGAAAAAATAATTTCAAAATTCTCCAGAATGGATTGTGCAAAATTCTAGGCTGTAAAGTATTTGTGATTATTTGCCGCAAATCACTCGGTAATATTATAACTGATTGAATGTAGCTTCTACATCTTCCAAAATGAACCATTAAGACTGTATCACTTACAACTGTTAATTGTAAATGATCTTTTAAATATAACTATCAAATCCTCTAAACGGGATATTTGAATGGATCAGTTACAAATACACTAACCCGATGACAATCTTTTCCGGTTTCATATGTAACATCATTCGTCACACCACTCCTTGTAATTTCTTGACTTCTAATTACATCCGGTTCACCAACCACTACAAACGTATCCTGTGACACTTGCGGTTGCTGATCGTAAACACCAATATCACCGACCGACATTGCAGATTTACCGGTAAATAGTACAGTATACAGAGAAATAAATACTTTGCTTAGTAAGATAAGCAACTATTTAACGAATTAATTATCAAATACATATCAAGCACTAGTAATACATTCAATGCAACCTACAAAAAATATTTTCAGATTTTTAATAAGTGATGGATAGTAAATTAGTACTAATCAACTAACCTGCAAATATAATTCGAACAAATAACTTGCTACTTCAATTCTACTCGTTAACTAATAATACATGAACAAATAAGTTGATTTAATACTTGACAAATAATGGACAAAACTCAATTAACTAAAAACTAAATGTAAATATAAGTAAAAGTAGCTAATAAGCAAGTTAGTAATAAGCAATTAAGTTAATAAGTGACAATGATAACTAAATGTAAGCATGAGTAAAAGAGGCTAATAAACAGGTTAGTAACAAGTAATTAAGTTAATAAGTAGCATATGCACATAACTGTGACAATTAAATAATACACATCTTCAAAAAATGATTTAAATATGGTAAAAAATAAATAATATAATATAGTTGAAGGACTGATTCGTAGTGCAATCTAATAAGTTAAGAGGTGATAACTTTTTAAATCACTTGATATTTGCCATTCTTTGTGGGTTTTTCTTTCAGAAAAAGGAATAATTTGAGTATGGTAATTATGTTTTAGTACGATGACTGTACTTAAAATTTGATAAAAAAGATAACGAAAAATGTAAACTGAGAATGACAGAACAAGTATCAAGTACCATAACCTGGAAATGCCAATAAAGAATAGTAAGTACTACTAGTAAAACTTGAAAGTGGGGACAGAGACAATTGCAAAAAGAAACTATTAAAACTTGAAGATAGGGACAAATGGCAAGTACCATAACTTGAAAATTCCAATAAGGGTAACAAGTATTACTACTACTACTACACTAAAACTTGAAAATACCGTAACAAATGCCAAGTACCATAATCCAAAAATTCCAGTGAGGGTAGCAAGTACCACTATTACAACCCGGAAATATCAGAATAAACGACAAGTACCATAACCTGAAACTAGTAATAGTTATCACAACTTAAAATTAAGATAGCAGCATCACACAACGACCTTTACCAATAATCGCAGCTTGAACTACGACCTATCGCAATGCTAACTTTAAAAATTAAAATGTTGATATGGATGAAGAAATTCTGTCAACATTTTTTTTCTTATTTCATTTTTTTTTTTGCAGTAATTAATTTATAACACTCTCACTCTCTGTTCACCCTTCTTTAAATGCTTTTTTTTTCATATCTCTCAATCTTTGCATTTAAAAGCAGAATGTGTTCTTTTCTAATTTCTTTATTTCTTAACCACATAGATACTCTCTCTTTCATGCTGTCGTTCTTTACCATTCTAACTTTTGCTATGTCTTTAGATATCGTTTTTTTCGTGTTTGTTTTTTTTTTTGTCAAAAGTTAATTTGTAATTTTATTTTATTAATTGTTAAATCATTTCTAATTTTTTAATTACTTTCATTCAAAACAATTTCTAATTATTTCCTAAGAATTTTTTTCCTTTCATATTATGAATTGATACAAATTGTTCAATTGTTAATGTTGACGTTTCTTTTTTGTTGTTTTTTTCCTCTCCTTTTTTTTTCTGTTTTTGCACGTTTTTGACCTTTACTTTTACTTCGGAAGTATTACTGACCATGACCATAATGTTTAAGATGAGGTAAAAAAGTACCAAAGAATTTTTCACATTTTTGGTTATATTTACATTAATGTTGAGAATATATTTGTTGTGATATCAAAAAGATAAATTTATACCTATACCTATTACCTATACTTCTACCTATAGAACTAGAAAAAATGTAAAATAATGGGAGATAATTTAGCAATTAAATGATTTCATAATTCTCCTCTCTGTAAAGGACCGATATTAATTAGTGCTTGCTAATTTTGGAAATTAACTGTAGATATCAAAGAGTATTTAGTATAAAAGCGTAATTAGGAATGAATGAAGTGAAGGAATATTTATAGTATAGGCATAGATATGAAATGGAAAATGTACAGTTTGCTTAAAGAAAAAGATTAAGCTAGATCTAGTACACAGTAATCGAATTATGTCTAACATGAAAATATTATATTAATGCTATTGAATATTTGATAGAAAGGTTAAATTTGCTTATTGTAGCTAGAAAAGTTAACGCTAATTAGCATAAATTTATTGTTTTTCTACTATTTTACGAATTAATTTTTCTTTATTAACATGATTTTTGTAGGCTATATTTGCTGCTTGGCAAAATATTGTTGCATAATAATGGAGCAGTTCGAATCAATAGTTCTTCAACCAACAGATCTACCTGTTGCAACTGGTTCTGATGAGCCAATGGCATGGATTACTCGACTTCAAGATAAAGAGGTATCCATTTGATTGATTTGTATTAATGAGATATGAGTAAAGTTTGAATTTTCATACATATTTGAAATTTGTAAGAATTCAAAACAAATATTCAGCAAATAAAGGTATTGTTCTTTATAGCTAAGAAGTTTTAACAAGTTATGAAAACTTAAATTGGAAATATTAATGCAATGAAAGAAGCGAAATTAAAAAATGGAACTAATAATGATGAAATAAAAGTAATCTGTAACAAAAAGTTTTACAAATTCAATTCAAGTTGCCTTATTCTTTTGATAAAAGCTAGAAATATCTTGGAAAGGATAATGGATATAACGAAATTATTATTCCAAATTTAATATTAATATTTGTTCAGTTTTATTCATGATAAATATGTTTATATACATTTGAAGGTTTCAGATTTAAAAAATACAACGCATGGCATTTCAACAGTTTTTTTCTTCCTTTTTTTCCATTTAAGAGGGTGAAATGATAGATGAAATGTAGTTTAGTTGGTCAAAGATTATAATTATTAATTCATCAGTTGTTATTTGTTTCAGTTTTATTTCAAATGTTTATGGTCAAACTGTTTTATGGTATACGATACTTTAAATGATCTATTACAACATATGCGTTCCCATATAGAACAATTATCTGGTTTGAATTACTTTCATTTCGTTCGCTTTTTCCTTTCCCTTTTTTTTTCTTTTAGTTTTGAAATGTTATTCAAAACTTAACATAAATGATATATATTGACTTTCACTGTTTTAGTTCTAGATCAAAATGAAGATGATATTATTGTATGCCCGATAAGCGGATGCAGTAAAGTACTTGCTACGAAGCATCATTTGTATCGTCATCTTTACATGCATAATTATCATATTCGACGACAGTGGACTGGTTTAAATGTTATTTTCAGTCGGGATGATGTAGCAAACATCCCACAGTATGTTTGCATTTAATTAGCTGAGTTGTCCCATATATACATATCCTAAGATATTAATTTATATATCTCACTAGAAGTTGCTAGTCAAGCTATGATGACATGATAACACGGGAAAAAGCGAAGTGGAAAAAAAAAGATTGATTATAATATTTATTCCATTTTTATTGCCTTTCTATGAATACAATATATTGATGATGGGGAAAAAAAAGACCGAAAATGTTAATATTTATAAATCGTTTGGTCATTATTTAATTGCACAAATATGTTGAACAAAAAATCTTTGAAGTTAATATTAGATTTTGATCTTTTATTTGACTTCTAGCAACATGGGATAAGCATTAATAGTAAAATACTTTCCGTTCATTTTGTTTGTTTTTCTTCATATTTACACTATAATTTGAACATAAGTTGATAGAAAGAAGATATTAGAAGATATATTTCCTAAATCCATTAAATGTTGAGGCAGTGATCAGTAGGAAAGTTAATTTTTGTCAATTAAATAAAATTGATTAAATTCGGCGTAGTTTCAGCTGTGGTTTTCGTACATCTATGGAACTTATATATGATGGTTCAGCAATGGCATGTGGATGGGCCAATTGTAGTGTAAGTATAATTCTTCAACTTTTTTTCAGTTGATTATTTACAATTAGATTTTTTGCAGTTTTTATTTTTGAATTTTTAAGACTCTCTGGGATGATATTGATTTGTACTGTAATCATGTTGACGATCATATCGACTCACTTGGTGTCACAGATCGTGACCAACGATACCAACTAAATTGCAGTTGGCAAGGTAACGAATTTTCCAAAACTGAAACTCAAGATTGGACTGTATATCGTTATTGCTCGAAATTTCGTTCACACAGGTTATCTCCTTTAAACTAACATTCCAGAAGGTTTTTGGATTCTCAAGTGTAAAAAGCTGTTACTCTTCAAACTTAGGCATTTTCAATATTTGATCTTTTTTTTAAGGTTGTAAAATGCATTTCAAGAACAAAGCCAATCTTCGAGTACATTGTCGGCATCATTCAGGTGATAAGACCGCAGCTTGTCCATACTGTGGTGTTTTCTTTGCTAATAACTCAAAATTGATTGATCACATGCTTCGTAAAAATCAAATTGGTATTTTTTTTCTTTTAATTTTATATTTTGCTTTTTCTGAGTGATGAAGGAAAATGCTGCTATAATGTTATCGCGTGATTTCATTTAATCGTTTTCTAACATCTCATAAGAAATTATACAAAAGGATGTTAAAATATAGCCTTTATATCTGGTTGAAAGATAAAACCAACAATTCGTTCTTGCGAAACGTAATTGGGAAAGATTGACATAGTTCAACAGCATCCTTTCAGTTTTAATTTAAGGAAATTTCCTTCTTTCTTTTGCGCCATTTTTGTGGTACTGAAAATGGCTTTGGACTCCATAGGTAAACTTTTCGAAAGAAATATAATTTGCTGAAACATTTCATAGTTTTTTAAAAAGATTTTTTTTTTTTTTGGATATTATATGTACTTGTTTATTTATTACAGGACCGGAAACGCTAGAAAACGGGGAATTTCGAACTATTCATTCATGTCATTTATGTCAAAAGCAATTTGGTACGCAACGTTTATTACGCGAACATTGCCGCCGACATGTTATGAATCATAAGTGTAAATATTGTACAGTGACCGTTGACAGTCCGTCTGCATTGAAAAGGCATGTTGCTGCTGTCCATGCCAAATGTCGGCTTTATACATGTTGCTATTGTGGCCACAGGTTACGAAATTGCAATTTTTACTTAGATAATTTGAGATGTTATATGTCATTTCAAGTAAAAATATCGGTTACTACTTAATTGTTTACATAAGTTCTTCCTAGTAGATGCAAAGAAAAAAAAGAAAAGAAAAGAAGAGTTCAAAATCGTTATATGCATACCGAGAGCTATATCAAAATCTTTTGCAGTTCATATTATTCCATGAATCCTTCTATTCTTTTAGAAGATAATAAAACGATACACAAATATGCAAAGCTTAGTATATTTTTGGTAGTTCTAATTTTAGCTAGTTTTGACTTAAAGAAATAAACAGTAAAATCTGTTTAAACTGTGGAGTTTTTACAAATACTATTTGCGGGCGGACATGCGTTATAAGCGGAGATTTTAAAAAAATGGAATTACAAATGCTTATACTGTTCTGAAATTATAGCTTTTCGATATTGATCTATTAAATTTTGACCTTATATTGACTTAAATAATTTTCAGTTTTTCGCAAAAAGCTGATGTCGACCGACATATGGTTGTTCACTCTAATGAACTTACGCATAAATGCGGACATTGCGGTGAGCAGTTTCGTTGGAAAAAACAGTTAACAGCACATATCCGAAAGCATGATAAGGTATATTCGTAAAGTTTTATATTTATTTAAAATTAAAATCGCCGAAAAATTTAATTTAGTTAGAGGAATTTTTTGAAAATAAAAAGGATCTAAATAAGGTATGAGTAAAAAAAAGAATGCTTTATATTAGTAAGGATCGCTATTGAACATTTCAAAATAGCTTTTCTCAGTTTCCACTAAGATTTCGGTTGCTCGATAAAACTTTCAAATTCACATTTGAACGCCTATAGAAACCATTATTTTAGAATAAGAAAAATAATTGCTTATTAAAGAAAAATTTCAGCATTTATCTATATAAGGTGACAGTTAACTTAGAATGAAATCTTTCTTTTTTACCATGAAAACTTGTTTTGAGTAAATTATCAGTAGCATAACTGTACTTACTTGTCTGAACTTTTCTGGGTTATCACTTCGAATCAGTTGATTGTTATTTGAAATTTTAGGATTATATACCGTACACTCATTTGTGCCACTTGTGTGATGCAAAATATGCAAATGGTTTTGGTTTAAGTCGACATTTAATGCGAAAACACAAATGTTCGATACCACGTGGATTTACACGATTTCAATATAAGAAATGCAAAGATGGTTATGCTCGATTGCAAACAAAACGTTGTTTGAGTAAAAGCTTAGCTATAGATTTAGGTTGCTATGTTGGTGAAGCGAAGGAAAAATCATGATCTACAAACTTGATTAGATCATTGTTTCTGAAATTTAATATTTTTAAATTCTATCTCAAATAAAATTTAAATTTACTTCATTGATAGTATCATATATAACATATGTGACAGTATCATATATAATAAAATCAAATGTTCTCAAGTATTAAATTTGTTCCATAAAACTATGCTGTTGATTAATGCCACAGATTCATCTCATATTTTTACCTCATGATGAATTTATAAATATAAATAGCAGGATAAGAGTATACCTATCAAAGGGATTGATAAATCTGGCATGGTTTCTTTAGCTTCCATTTTTCTTTTCTTTTTTATAAGAAAAAATTGAAGTAGATTGATCGATCAATTTTTTTGTTTTTATCTCTGTATCAAAGTCTGTGTATAACTTCAAGGGTTAGGGTTTTCTTGTTTTGTTTTGTTTTGTTTTTATTTTTGAATTAAGATTTTCGTTTTTTGCAAAAAAAGATTCGATATTTGTTAATCTAAAAGTATACTATAATCAAAACTTTTAATGCATTAGTTTATCAAACATTGATGGAAATTGATAAGAAAAATCGATAAGAGTAATTCGAAAACTGATAACAGCAATTGTTGCAAGGTTTTTTTTCCTACAGTTAGAAATTTCTAGGAAATACACGGAATAGCATTGTTAGGATAAAATGTACTATATTTATATACTTGCATTATTAAAATTAATAATATAATGTAATATTATATAGAGCTATATAATGTCACAATATTATCTCATTACCATTCATTATCAATTTAAATGGAGCATTTACTATGCCATTCATTTCCTAATTATCATTTGTAGGGAATTCTAGGTGAAATTTTTAGTGCAAAATTTAAATATTTTGGAATTAATTTGGGGAGTAAATGATTTTCATTCTCATTGAAATTTTTCAATTTGGCATCAATTCCTCTATACTTTTTTTTTTTTCACCGACTCATTTGTACTGATTGTAACAAATGATAGTTGTTGGGATGGTTGTTATTTGCTTCAATCTTCTCATATTACCCTGCAAATTTCATTTCCTTTTTTTTCTTTTTTTTTTGTCATACTATATATTTTTATTTGCATGTTTTGTAACTAAACGATCTAAATTACTGATAGCAAATGATTTAAATGAAGAGAAAAATAAAATTTTTTTTTTTCTTTCAAAATATTAAATTAAACGGAATGCATTTAAATCATTTATTATTAATGAATAAAAATATTTGACGCTTTGTGATCTATCAAATGGATTAATATAGCTACTTAAAATATATGAATATTAAATTATTCTTAATAATATTGATAATATTAGGTTAAGGAATTTGAATTGGATTTTTCTTTTTTCCGAATTTATATTTTCATCCATTTTATTTACCTATATAATCGTATAGGTGAATGGGAAAAAAAAAGCGAAATGCTGGTAGGAAAAATAAGGTTTCATGTGGGAAAGAATGAAGTATTGATTGGCTGAAACATTTTGCAAATAAGAATGTAATTAAATAATTATTTATCTTTTGGCAATTGTGATGAAATCGGATTTCTTTGTTCCGATGAAATCATCTGATATTATCAGACGATAAAAAGGAACTTTCTGTACTTAGTATGATGTTCTAAATTTTAAAAGACAATTTAATTGTTTCAAGGAAATGGAAAAATAAAAATTTCTTACTAAATTACTAACGTTTATTACTATGTGGATTGTTAAATGATAAGATGTTAATTGTCTTTTTATGGTCGTATGATGCAGGAAAAAGTAATAAAATAAAGTTTGTCTACCTTTTGATAATATTATTTTTTCAAATATTGTTGAAATTTCTTTACTTATTGTTGGAGATAATCAGTAGTAATTCAACATTTCATAATATCCGTGATGTTTTATTTATTTGTTTATTGTTTATTATTGCTATTATTTTTATTTTCGTTAATAATATTATCGTTGTTTTTATCATTACTTTTATTATTATTAAGCAAATGCTTAATGATATCACTGCTTATTGAGTGAATCCATTTTTTTTTATAAGTATATCTGTGATTTTTGAAGTTCACATCATGCAATTTCACGGTGAAAGACGTATGACAACCGCAGGTGATTATGGAAAATTGAAACCATCAGATTTGTGTCTACCGTATATTGGTACACCAGAAGATCGAACACTTTATGTTCAGAATGTACCGGAAACGTGGGATAAGGTATATTGTTTCATTTCCTGTTCTTTTTTTCTTCCGCCGTTTATTTTTCATTTCTCTTTTTCTCTCATAATTAAATAAGCAAGTTTTTTCTTTTTCTTTTGTTTCCAGTGGAAACTTCTTCATATATTTCGACAATTCGGACGAATTGACAACATTAAAATTATACGAAAACATGAGGATTCGTTAACATGCGCGTATGTCATTTCCAATTTACGCTTTAATGTTAAATAAATAATTTTCCTTAAATAACAATGAATAGTTTGTTTATAAACATTGTTTCATTAATAACATTACAATATAATTATTATTTCGATTGGGTAATGTTATTTTGCTATTTAATTAATTTAAGATTTGTTCATATGATGTCAATTGCTGATGCGAATTCGGTTATCACAGCAACAGCTCAGGATGATGGCAAAATACAGTTGCCAGAGCTATCGAAACCGCTCAAGGTATGTTTAATAGGGAAGTTGAAAGAAAAGGAAAGAGGGCGGTGAATGAAAGAAGGGAATTCACTGATAGGAATTTTTTAATTTGTATTTGTAGAAATATTATGCTTTTATTGTCAGGCTGATTGATTTTTTTAGATCCAATTTGTAAAACAGAAAGGTAATACAAATTGGAAAACAGATTTATCAACGGCTGTTGATAGAGAAACGGAACGAATGAAAAGGTTATTTTATTATCATGTCTTAGGATAGTGCAAAATAATACTGGTAATCATTTCAGTAATTTTTAAATTCTAGTTTAGGCTTAGCATTTAGTCAATGAAACTTCTTTTTAAAAAGAAAAAAAACTAGGGGAATCAGAGAAAAGAGTTGAAATCATCAGTAATCACCGGAATGGAAAATATCGTTTGAATTTTAT